ATTTCTACAGGTTTAGGCAGATGACCTGCTCTGCCTATTGTCTTTCAGTCACAGAATTCACGGCCTCTTTTACGCTTTACACAGGCGGAGAATTTGTTTTAAGGCGACAACGAGTTTTAAAGAGGAAATTGTCTTCTCGGAAGTTCAATAATCTCAACTCTTCACGACGTGAAAAGCTACAGTTGCTTTCCCAAGAAATTTCCCGCTAAGATTAAAAAAAAATCCAAAATAAAAGTCGAAAACAAGTCTTCAATTATTGTAAAACAAAATATATCTTATTAGGGAGAGATGAAGCTGCGAAGGACGTCTCTTGAGAACTGCAAGGAAAGAGAAAAGTCACGTTGTTAGCTCAGACACGTTATTTTAAAGAGACTAAAAGTTTTCGAAAACTCCCGGCAGCAAAGTAAAACTAAACTTGAAAAAGCCCACAAAGACACATTCCTAAAACATGATAAGCTAAATCCAACGAAAAAAGATAACTTTTTGTTTCACGAAATAGGTGAAATATTTAGCTGGACTTTCCACTTACCGATCAGTTAAACAGCTGAAACTTGACCTTCTTCATCTGTGAAAATCAACAAGTAAATATAACAATTACACAGTGCGTCATAAGGGAACGCAACGAGGATTCTCAAAGGAAGGAGTCATTCAATCCCCATACTGTATTTTACGGACTAAACTGCATGTATTATTAGTTTTGGTAAAATAATCCCAGAATGGCTATAATAACCAAATTGAAATTGAAGCAAATACTATAGTAACCGATGAAAAAGGCAGAAAACTTCGTGCAAGGCTAATCAAAATCTCTTGGGTATCACGTGACAGGTCCAAAATTCTCCTTTTTGATTGGCTAGAAGACGAAGCCAACATTTTACAAATCAATGACCTCTCTCCGAAACCGATTTAAAAACCGCTTTTCCAATTAGCCATTTTCGAGTTGCCTTTTGCCTCTGTGTCAAAACGAGTCTCCATGCGAAACGATTCATATGAAAATGTGTTCCCCCCTGCCAGTTCATTTTCATGCAAATAAAACTTATTTTCATATGAAAGGTTTTGCGCGAAGACTCGTGTTGAAACAGAGGCACAGGGTAACTCGAGAAATGGCTTATTTCTCGCTACGTGCGTTTCTAAATGGTTGTGGTGCCAAGAACAACAACAACCTACCGTCATAATTTTCTACATATTCTACTCTGCTGTACTGGTCCACTGGGTAATGATAACCAGGGTATTGGTACGTGATTCCTGGGAAGAATAAAAAAAAACTGAAATTAGGACCTGACGAAAGGTCAATACAACAGAATCGCCATGCTTGTCTAGTTATAGCACGCACTCGAATTGTTTACCATGGAATGTCCCACGAGTCAATTGACTCAAACCACCATGTCCACACAAAAGAGGTCTAGTTGTTTACTTTAGGCCCCGTCCTCACGTGTCCGGATATTTTTGAATCCGCAACTTTTTCTTTCCGGGTTCAAAAATTTCCCCGTCCACACGTAGCAAAAATATCCGGATTCGCTGGCGAATTCGTCGGATGCGTGTGGAAGGGGCCTTAGTTTGACCGCACAGAGAATAACTGTGATTTGCGAGTAGACGTTTGGCCATGCAATGCAAGTCTGTTCACAGTTTCCATATTATCCATACCGATACTGCTTCTCGCTAACGAGCAAAGCAACGTCTTTAGAAGCAGGTCGTTTAATCCCTTAGTTATGTAACATTTCGAAAAGGCAGTGGCATTCAAACAGTCTTTTAGATCGGACTCTGACAAATTTTAAATTTAAATTTAATTTTTTAAGTATCTATGAGAGAAGTCAAATGAAATAAACTTACCAGGGTGATATGAATGTTCTTGTGAGGACGTGGAATGAGTTGGACTGTAAGGTAGACTTTCTGCTGAACCTGCTGGAAAATATCAACAAGGCGGATGAATTAGTGAGACTATTTTTTCGCAATGTTCGCGGAATCGCTTGCATCAAAATTACGGCCACACGCTCTTATTGAAAGATGGACAAGATTTTATACCTGAATACACCATCGGCCTGATTGCTTCAACACCTACGAGAGAATAAAAAATAATGACTAAATTAACACAGGTTTCCGAAAACCATCTTATTCGTACCGTGATAACAACGCACAGTGGACGAGTTTTCGTCCATGTAGACGACGTTTAGACGCCATGTATTAAACACGGTTTCAACACCAAGACTTCCTTAAACGCTCACTAAGCTTCGTTTGAATATTCAGTCCGTTTGATTCCGGTACTCTTCTACCTCGCATTCACATATACTCAGTCAAAGGTGGAGAACTGAACTTAAACAAGGAGGAAGACGTTCAAAGTTTCCTTTGCTGTCACTGACTCTTCAACAAGAGCTGGCAACAGGGCAACCATTGACCGGCTGTGGGAACGATTTTGTCTGCCTTGTTTGACCGTACAGAATAAATTCTTCTCATAAAGAAGTTCAGTTCAAAACGTTTTTCCTCCATGTGAAAGCCAGTTGCCTTCCTGCTGAAAACGTTACATGATACCCCTACTGACTAGGAAGCGTGGAAGTGTGAAACTTTGTTATTTATCCAGTTTTGACGATCAAATATAACGGTATAAGGTGTATTGTTCACTAACCTGGAGGGTGACGGTAATGTGGTCTGTGATGCTCGTCACTGATGTGAAGTCTTCTAAGTTCCTGCATGTGAACAGTGTCTTCCGGAAAAGACGTTCTATCCCCCTCCGGGAACACATGTATGTCTTCTAAGATACAAAAACAATATACGACATAAGACATCAAGTACCATTTAATCTTCTTTTCTAGAAACAAGACACGTGGCATTCTCTAAAATGAAAAATCCACAAGGTTATTCGAAGTAATATATCAAACACGAGAGACAGTGTTTCATCGGGATATCCAAACACCGAGAAGACAGTTGAAACTACGACGCACACCTGAGTATTTTCGACGAAATTCGAGGTGTTTGGATAGCAGGTGAAACACTGTCTCGAGTGTTTGTTATATCTTCTCGATCGAAACAAAAAACTAAGGAGTAAACGGAGAAGTAAAATCATCAAAATCTATGCTAATTCAGACCGGGTATCCAAACCTCCTTCACGGTTTTAACTTGATGAATTATGAATGAGTTTGAGAAGAAGGTTTCTCGCAAATAGGCCAGTTTCGATATATTCACTTCAGCCTAAAACAATAGACCTCAACACGAGGCTCCGAGAAATAACTACAGAGATTGTGGGGTTTATTCCCCGGGGCCTCGTGCTGAGCTCTATTGTTTTAGACTGAATTTTAATATATCGAAATTGGTCTATTCCTATTTGAAGCTTTTTGTCGGAAACACGTGACTAATGCACGTGATTTCCATTCCCCGTCACGTGCTCTTTCTAGAGTCTCAACCGGCAGGGAGGGCCAGGGAGTGCAAACAACAGAAATGTTGTCTCTGGTTATTTCTTCCAGTTTCTTATGTAGTGAAGCATTTATCTCCTCGCCACTCTAAAAAACAAAATATCAGATTTTCATTTACCTTCATTGAGTTGTTTTGGTGATTGCATGTCGGGGAATGATGACGTACTCGCCGTAGAAGACACAGACACGCGGTCACCTGTAACAAGGACAAAAAAAAGTTCTTCAACGCTACACAAAGCTCAAGAAACTGATCCATTTCTGTTGTAAAAAAGGCAAACACCTTGCAAACGTTCTGGCAAACGCCGCAAAACACACTTGTTATGAACGCCAGAATTAATTTCGTAAATCAATGCTTGACAAACCTGCAAAATCCTTTCTGAGTGCCAACGGCGACGGGACTAAAACAAAAGAAAAGATTAAAAACCGTGTTAGAAGTCAGAATCCATTGATGAGATCAGGTAATCGTAGACTATCAACAAACACAGTCCAACATAAATTAAATTTCGCGACCCAAACTTGTTTTTTTAAATTAGAAATTAACAAGGTTATACTTCTTGGTCTAGCAACCTCGTTACCAGGTTCTTCTTTTTTCTTCCATCCTCTGGAGCGAGGCAGAGGCGGAAAGAAGGCAGACACAGCCTGAGAACGAGATTCGTTCTGTTCTGTCCAGCGGTTAACTCACCAGGTTTGCCAGCTTTACGATCTTTCTTGTTGGCGGTCGGGGAGGACGTGGGCGAGTTTTTCTTGCGCATCTGTACACTGGGCGGAGCTACAAAAACGAAAAAATAATGAAAACAATTATAACACTATTTATACTAGTCTGACATTTACCTCAAGTAACAGGGGAGGAGTGGTGGGAGTGAGGGAAGCGAGGGAATCGAAAGAAGTAGTATGGTTAACTTACCAGACCCCTGAGGGGGCTCGCAGACCTGTGACATGTCCCGTAATTTATCCTCATCTTGTATAATGGTTAGGTTCGATAAATACTGCTTCACCCTCCGTGACATCATGGACTGTGTGACAAACAAAAGAAACTCCATAAGAGAAGGAAACACAGATTCTGTTTTGAACAACGTCAGGTAGAGAAATCTTTCGAACTGAGGCGGTTAAAAATTTTGGCCCTTCATACCTCCTCATACATCTTCTTAGGATTCTGGTCTCGCAAGGATCTTCGACTCCATGTGGTGCTTCCTGTTACCATGCCAACCACTGATGACGTCATTTTCTGTTGCCCAGGACCACCTTGACTGTTAATTTCGTCTTCAAACATGGTGTCAGGATCCTGGAATCGACAAACGCAATTACACGCGCATTCGAGAGTTGTTTCAATAAGCGTTAAAGTACACGCATATCTTTATGCACTTACATAAGGGATGGAGTTGAATTTGGAAATCTGACGGATTTCTCTAGCGATCAGACGAAGCTTTTCGAAGTTTACCTGTTAGGAGATCAAAGAAGAGAATTGTGTTAGTGTTAACTGAGGATTCTGTGAGAAAAAATATGTTACAAAGAAATCGCAACTTACAAGTCCGTCCACAATGCTGTCGTTTCCTAAGTGGATGAACGTCAGGTCCTTAGTTATAACGGGAAAGAACGGAATCTGAAACACAAAGAAATTCTCCTTACTCACTCGTGCACGTTCTTTTATCGCTAGTTTAGACAATTCAATGGTTTTATAAACACAACGTCCCTTAGTTGACGATTTTCGTTATCCTCGCCACCTGTGTATTTGATAATGCTTTGATATTGTAATGAGAAAACAGCTGCTGATCGACTGCTTGTGGACTGATTTCTCTCTGGAAATCAGGCAGCGAGTATGGGGCGGGACGATTTACATGAGGAGGGACAGGAACGAGACAAGAGCGCGCGCCAATCCCTTCTCGTCCATACCACGTTTTTGCGTTCGAGGGGATGAACAGAGAAAAGACCGAACGCAGATAGTTTAAGATGTCTAAGATTTAACATCATTTCAAAATCAAACAAACAGAAACTAAGCTGAAGTTTTCCAAGCGATTTCAATGAAGTATGGCCTGCCGCCTGGTTAGCTCAGTTGGTAGAGCGCCAGTCTGCTGTACGGGAAGTCGAGGGTCATACCGGACCAACACTCAGTCTTACAATAACTTAAGAGAATGTGTTGCCTTTGCATTTACATCTGCAAATGGTTAGACGTTCAAGTCTTCTCGGATATGGCCTAGAAACTGTAGGCCCTGTCTCCTGTCTCACGGGTTAGTGTTCCACATAGGTTTAACCTCATTGCACCTTTCCGCCTTGGACAGAATTGTCCAAGAAAATTGTTATGATCTAAGATCTATAATCTAGTTTTTTTTTTTCGCTTAACACTTAGCTACAGCAGAAGTAACAGCGAATGCCAAAGATAAACTTAAGTCCAACTTACTAAGGGTGGTTCGCCGTGCTCTCCGTTCAGCAGATTTCTGTACTTGGACATGTTTCTTGACGGATCCATAAGACTTTGAAGATCCTGAGATGAATAAGATAAAACAAGACGGGTTTAGTCTGACTGTCTACTATAAAGATCCTTCTTAAGGACGAGTGAAAAAGCACGGACGGTGAAAGGCGCAATTAATCACAGTCAGAACGTTGACTTCAACGAGAAAAATAAATAATCGTGATACCATTGAGAGTCTAGATAAGTTTAAAAATTACACTTTACTCGTACAGCTAACCTCGAACGCCTTGCTATGCTTTGTGGGTAATTTGTCCCACGTGTTCTTCAGGCGTTGTACCGCTGAGTGGCCAAGACCGCTGGAACAGAGGATAACAACAGTAATTTAGATTACTATTTGACAAATCAACGTATGGATATGATCACATTACAGTAAGATCATTTTAAAAGGGAGGTGGAATATCTCCTTCTAAAATCGACATACATTCCTTTCTTGAAATAAACCAATCACAGGTCCGCCTGTTATTTTCTTGCAGAGGATCGCGCCAAAAATATCTACCAATGAATAGCCGGTTAGCGTTTTCCTGGGAGAGGAAACATCAGGACGGCAAGCGACGTTGTGATTGGTGCGGCATGTACAATAACTAGGTGCTGATTGGTTCAAGTGAAAATATGACAAACAATGGTCGGCGCGGTGTGAAGTAGCCGCGTGGGACTGGGAACTTTGCGTGACTTCGGCCTGAGCGGCTGGGAAGGAGACTAGAAGCTACTCTTGTCATTACAAAGAGTACTTTGTCAAATCCATTGGTAAATGACAAGCTTATGAATAAAAAAAAAAATCAATTCTTAGAAACTTCTGCCTCACCTGACAATAGCGAACAATGTATTGTAGTTCTTGCATTCCTTACAATGTCCTGCAAAGGAAAAAAAGAGAGAGAATTGAACAAGGTTCGTTGAAAACTATAACTTCTTAAACCAGATCAGTGGAAGTCAATGTAAAAGGCTTCGACGTTTTACTCACTTGCTATTTTGATGAAAGCTTTAATCAACTTCATTCTCTTAACTAAGTTTGTTTCGCTGCAGATCTCAGTCACAACCCAAAACATTTCTTTATTTACAATCTGCAACGAAAGAAAAGCACGTTCAAATGAAGTTCAGAAACTATACCCAAAACAGCAGTTCAAGGTATTATGCTCAAGTTTTGCTGCTAAATAATACCTTCTCCATACCTCAGAAAATTTTCTCAAGTTTTCCGTAAGTTTGGGGCCAAAGTTCCATAGCTCGTAGATGTACTCACGAGGATCAATACTTCGAAAAACCTCGAAATCCTGCAAAGAAAAAGAAAGGGTTGACGTTAAAAAAAAACATGTGGATCAATTGTAAACCAACAGCCAAGAGAAACTGAACGACTACAGTAGTCCGTTGGGTATTTGTATTCGACCAAGGGATTTTTATCATTTCTCCGATAAATGATTAAATTCCCTTCTACATTTTTTCAAAATTTTCAACAGCCCCAGCTTGACAAGCTGACTTCCGGCAACTCGAATCCGCTTCCGTTTTGGATATCGTGACATGACTTCCGGTAAGACTCAACCCGGGTTTATTATGCGTGGGTGGCTTGCAAGTTACATTGATAACTAATTATCAGCTAGATTATTAATGTTATCGTGTTAATTACCAAAAAATGAATGCTTCGATTGCTACTTTGTCTATTTTGAAGCCGTTATTTAGCTCGTCACGGTAGCGCCGCGTGACTCTTGTGCAGCTAACGTTACGACCCAAATGATCGGTAACCATGCTCCTCACAAAAATCGTGACAAAATCACCGACAGTTAAACATTTCATCTTTTCCGACAAATGAGAACAAGGATGCAAATCTATAGTGTGCAATGCTCAATATTTTAATAACAGAATTTGGCCAGAAACTGCAAGTATTAGTTGTTCACAGCATTATCTGTGACGACCCAGGCAACACAGCGTTACTTCCGTCGTCGTCATGCAAGCCAACAGAGAGTAGCCATGCACTGCCTCATCTGACTTACCTGTAATGTTAGCTCTTTGGCGACGTCTCGGGGTTTGATTTGTAACAAAGTAGAGTGAGACTCTTTGGCCAGCTCCTAAATTCAAATAGAAAGAAAATGCCAGAATGAGAATTTCACTGAACAGCAGACATACATCAAGAAGTGATATGACCTGACAGCTCATCCTAACTGACAATATTTTTTTCACAATCTTTCTCTTTGTAATCCGTCACAATCTTTCCCAATCTCAACCATCCTTGGCTTTTCGGTTAGTTTTCTTCTTCTTCTTCTTTTTTTTTTTTTGTAACTTTTTTCGTTATTTCCCCATTGAATACTTCTTTGCTCCACGCTCAGTGCCTTAATTTTGCCGTTTAGGTCGCGAGGGAATAACACTAGTATTGAGCACTATTTTCCAGAATGGTTTTAAAAATAAGAGCTGCACTGACATTCACTGACCTGGGCAGCCTCGTCTGGAAGCAGCTGGCTCGAAACATTGTTGTTCTTCAAATAATATCTGGGAAAAGGGAAGCACCAGAAGCATAAGAAGGTTATACAACGCCACAATATCCCATGACACACAACTTCTAACACATGTCTAAGTTTGTCGCGGCCCAACTTATTGTGATAAAACTAAGGGTCCTTTAATTGGTTGTCCAAACTTTTAGCTTTGCCGGTTCGTTGACACCGCAATTTAAGAGCGACTTTCTCCTCACTGGGTAATGGGTTAGTAACAGAGATTCAACTTTGTCAAGCTCCCCTCCCATCCACGAAAAAAGAGGAATGAGATGAATTAATTCCTAATAACAAATTCGATAAATTAAAATGATTGTCTAACTAACCCGAGTTAAGTACAAGTGAATGTGTTATCAGACCGTGCAGCTGGCGGGATTTCCCGCGGATCCGTTTAGGTTTTACATGATTTTTCTGTTATAAGGCGGACGTATCAAGGGAAAGAAAATCTCGACCTAGAGGATCTTGTCTTGATGAATGAAAAAAAAAATTCTTAAAACTTACAATAAAAATACAGTGGAACCTCTGGTCGCGACCACCTCTCGCAAGCGACCACCTCTCCTCAGCGACCAGTTTTCCAAAATACCAAAAGTTTCCAAGTCAAATCACTATATTTGGAACCTCTTGCAAGCGACCACCTCTCGTAAGCGACCGCGACCACTTTTAGAGCCTAAAGTTTGAAATTTTCTTTTGTTTTAACCTTCCGTAAACGACCATTTGAGAGAGAATGGAGCGAAAATTGGATAATATGGTGGTGTAACGTGATCGAATTCCTGGGTGGTACAAGAGACGGAAATTTCTGAATGGGAAGTACCCGATTTTTTTTCTCGAAATTGACTTTTCACATGAATAAAAAATTTTAAAATTTAATGAAAAAATGCACATACACTGTACCCGATCAGTCTTAAAATAGACAACCTGAAATGTCTCGAAAGCGACCACCTAGGCTTGACATTTTGGGTGGTCGCTCAGGGGAGGTTAGACTTTACTTGGGATCTGAATTAGGACTGTTCACTGACCTTCCATTCAAATGAATTCTGTCGGGTAGATTTGTGAGCATGTCGGGAAGTCTTCGTTGCTTGATGAGGCCTCCGTCCTCTACAGTAATCTCACACAGTGAGTAATTTCTAAAAGAAAAAGAATCGAAAAAAGTCACCTTCCAATGGATGGTCACAAAATCCTTCCCGACTTTTATGCGAAAATCCTTGTAGCGAGCGTCGCGGGATTGCGTGATAGCGTGACTCGGTAGAAAGTTGCCAACCACAAGGGATTTCCCTGCCGACAGCCTGAGGCCCCGTCAACACGACGCCGTAGGAATTTGAAACCGCAGCTTTATGTGTGGGGTTTGGCCTTCCGTCCACACTAATCCGTCTCGAAAACGGAGCCTTTCGAAAACGCTCTTCGAACTAGAAAATTACCGGTGATTGTTGCGTTTTCAAATTCCTCCGGCGTAGTGAGGACGGAAAACATTTGATGCCTTTCAGCGTGAAACCCCCGTTTTCAAATTCCTCCGGCGTAGTGTGGATGGGACCTGATACTGTAGTGGGATACGGTTAAAAGGTAATAAGTGAACTCGCTCGGATTTTTTTTTTTTTTTTTTTTTTTGATCATCTAAGGCGGCAAAACGAGAGCGTGATTTTCAGTCTCCTCTTTTTGTCGGGAAAATCGCAGTTTGCCTTACAGTGGCAAAAACCCCTATGCTTGAGATTACATTTCACTTTACGTGGACTCGTTCAAACATTTTGTCTCAAACTGGAAAATGACGTTCAACTACACGTTTTCCATGTAAAAATGGTCTCTATTCTGCACGTTGTGTTTGACTTTGTTTTGCACTTTACCAATACTAACGCAATATTGATGCAATACTGGCTTAATACATCCTCCAGTCCAGTTCTACTCCTTACCCTGGAAGTTCTTGAATGCCAAATGCATCTACGGCTCTATTGACGACTTCCCGTGCCGTAGTTTCCTGCAAGACAATGACAAAAGGCTGATATGAGAATCCTTAGGCAGCACAGAATACTGTCTGTGCCCATATTTACGATGCGCCCTCACGCTTTATCAGTCTCAAGTCTCCTCCTCAAGTAATACGGTAGAGTTGCTTTTTATCCAGATTATTCTTGAAGCGACGACGGAGAATCTATACAAGCTTGGACGTAAACACCTCACAGCTGCTAGTCGCACTACTAAGATGTTCAGAAGAAGCAAGCTATCGGCCTATTTATCACGAAAATTCAGTCGGCAAATCATGTGAAGTTTGATTCGGCCGTTTTCCTTTCCGGGCGGGCGCGACAAGAGGACGAAATCCGCTGTAAGCCGCTTACAACTCATAACAAGCCGCTCAAGAGACCGTGACAACGGTGAAACAAAACAAAACAAATCTCATTACAGGGTTAATCTCATACATACTCGAAAAGTATTAGCAAAGCACATACTTGGTGTTAAAAATTTGATCGCTATCTAGCTCATTTCGATTCTCGCAAAAACACGCAAAAAGATAACGAATTTTAACATCTTTGAGGACTTGTTTGCCATTTGACTCAAACGTCACAACGTCTTTATGAAGAGTTCAACAACTTCAAAACACGTTCAAAGCCACGCGTTAGTTCTTACATGTCTGGGACAACAAATGTACGCATTCTTTTCAACAAAATTTCAATATTACGTATATTAAGTGAATCCACAGTAAATCGTTTTTCATAAAGATTTGCCTTAGTTCGTTACAAGCGAGAGAAAGCGTTAAAAAAATCCAGTCAATGTCTGTAGTAATCTTTTCTCCGTGCGCCTGTTATCACGATCGCACGATATTATAGAGATAACTGCTTGCTCTTTTGATCAAGAAAAACAAACAGACAAAAGACAACGAAACCACAACAACAACAATTAACAGTTTATTAGGCGAAAACTCCATTGAAAAGTGGAAGCGATTTTTTAAAACGCTATTGATGAACACTATACAGGTTTTCATCTCTTCAACTCTCCCTACCTCGAAACCCGCTAGAAATCGCCAACGGGATAGTGACATTAAATGACCTAAATCTACTCAAGTGATATTTCAAGAAGTACGTAAAGATCAGTTAAGGAAGTTTAGATCTCGATTTTAAGCTGAAAGGCTTGGAAAATGATCTGGCTTTTAGCAGGAGTATCATTTGTATGCAATACATATTGTATAAGAGTGCCACCATCAATATGTGTTTTATATCTTATCACTATCTTATAGTACAGGGTCGACTAACGTATAACGGGTTTCCATTTCAATACGCACCTTGTACACCATGAAATATCTACACGTCTGGTCGGCTTTGTAAACCTTGATAACCCTGTCCGGCATTTCCAGCGACTGATCGCTGGTGTGAATACATTCTGAGGACCCGAATCCTCTTGGCAGACTGCCCCTTAAGCGGTTCTTGACTCCGTGCCGAGCCACCACGTGCATGTCATCTGTAGGGCCGTCGTGATCCACGCTTAAAAGGTCCCTTTCACTTTTAGAAATGAGCCTATAAAATAGTAACACACAAACTGTTGGGCTGAAATCGGTAGCTATGTTACAAGCATAAATAAGTCTTTTAGGCTAAAATTTGTGATGAAGATAGAATGCTAGTAGAAACACGGTCTAATCCTATTGAATTATGTAAAGGAGCTTAGCTTTTCCCGATCTCGGGGTGTTCAAATCACGGTCAACATTACACAATCTTTTTAATGTGATATCGATGTGTGCAAAAAAGAGATGATATCATTGTGTGTTAAGTGCTAAATACCAGAGAAAGATCATAGAAAAGTAAACTCTTGAATGCAGAATTGCCTTAAAAACAAAATCTGGTGATCAACTCACGACCAATTGGAAAGTACCTAATTGTTTAGTCAACCTCTACACAGAAAAACTTAATGCTAAACGATCCAGTTGTTTTGCTATAATACCTAAACAATTAAATAATAATATAGCCACTTCGTTTATATCACATCAACAATAATAGTATAATATAATTTAAGCCTAAAGCGCATATATCTCTATTGTTCAACGTACTTTGTAATATCACATAGCAAAAGAAATAAAATCACGCCGAGTTTTTCACCCGATCAAGATCCTTAAAACGTCAAAGTTGAAAATTACCTCAGGAAGAACATTTTATATTCCAAAGTCTTGAGGAAAGTATTGTTTTTCGATTGTCCTAACCCAGTTGCTGCGACTCTAGCAAGAATATTTTGAACTCCAACCGAAAGGTCACATGAAACTTAAAATATTTGCATTGTGTATAAAGTTCTACAGATATACGTAATAAAAACACCCTTTTTTGGACGGGAATAGTCTAACAATTCACCGAATTAAGCAATCGTCTTCCGTCTAGATGACATTATTTCTGGAATATGACATGGCTTCAGTCTAAACTTGGATGATCGCAGCTAAAAAGCCCATTACAGCATATTGCATTAGAAAACGAAATTTCGTGTTTCAGTCGAAACCACGTCAAAGTAAGAAATATCTTTAGCTAATTAGACAGCGGTTACATCCCGATTTCTCATGAATTCCGTTAACTTCTGTAGACGGCTATCAAATTCCTTGTCCGTACACGTTTTAAATTCTCGCTGAATAGTTGGACTAGAATTTTCTTTAGACCAGCTTCCAAGCGTTGATTTTCTGTGACAAAAGTAGAACAACTGTTCCTCGGTAGAAGTTTCACAATTTTAACTTTCAATTTTGCTCGCGGTAGTGATTTCTGTCTAAAGAAATAAGTAATTAAGAGAGAAAGAAAATCGGAAAACCAAGAGACAGCAAAAGATCGCAATATTTCTCAGGCAGACCTCTCCCCTGGGTTACAAAAAACAAAACAACTATCTCAGATCTAACACAATTGAAAGTGTAAACAAGATTTCCATACTTACTTGTTGTTCCTTGACAGTGTTCCAAAGGCGCTGAGTCGATTTAAAGCCTTCTTTACTCTCTCAGAAGGAGTGGAGGAATGAAGATGCTAAGAAAAGAATAAACACGGAAACAAGAAATCAAGTTAAAATGTCACCCCAATGGAATCATACTCGAGCGAGCGAATCGAATGTTTCGAAAACGCATTCAATCAGCGGATTCTCCCACCCACTCAACTTCCGCTTCTTCAAAGCGTGGGCGCCAGGCCTAGACGAGCGGAAGCGTGTTGCTTACGTCAACACGTCACATTTTGGCGCGAAAACCATGACAACAGCATTTCCCAGGCAACAATTGCTTATAAGTGTTGCAAAAAGTCAACATATCGGTACGTCAGCGGCATAACTTTCCCAGGACAAACGGCCAACATTCGGGCGTGACTTCAAGTAGCTTTTCAGATTTTTTCCTGATAACGCACCGGGTGTCTTTCTTTCGTTAACAATACGTGTTTTTTTAGAAACTAATTGTAAAATCTCTATAGGAAAAAAAGAAAACGACCCCTCTTGTTTGCTTCACAAGAGGAAATTGCAATAAAATACAAAACAAACACAACGAATTCCAAAGAATTCCAACAGGCCTGCCCGTCCAACAGGTATCAAGCAGGTTGTACAGCGAGATATAACCTTAGACGGGGATTACGGAGAAATGTGGAAACCTGCACAAAGTGGCAGAGTTGTATAAAAAATTATTTTAACAGAAAAACACCAAATTTTAGTACAATCAAACGGTCGATATCTTCTTAAACGTTAACTGCAAGGACCTTAAAGCAGCGCACATCTTAAAGCATTGTGTCGAAATTATAATGCATAACGCCTCGCGACTAGTACCTTTCCACAACAACATCGGTGAGAAGAAAAAAACTACCTACAAACACAATCAATACTTTCCCATTAGCGTGCAAAAACACCAACAATATATACAACACGAAAGATGATTACCATCACGCAACGAACCACGGAGATCAGAGCTAAAAACGCAAATTAGGCGTTATAAAGCCCTGAAGAGAGCCCCATTGTAATATTAATTTGAAGACAAAAGATGATTTACACAGCGAGGAAATTAACTTTATTCTGTTGCGAGTCAATTTAACCACAGCTTTAAACGAGAGGCAACTGCGTTTTTTTTAATTGAAATCCATTGAATGATGAATCATTCCGAAACAGCAATAAAAGGTACCGACGTAGGTCAAGAACATTAACACTTTGCTTTCCTAGGGTCCAACTTCAAAGTACTTGTGCAAATGGCTTTAAATGGCGGCCGAGAGAACTTTAGCATTTCCAGTCAAAGATCCTTAGGCGAAAAGCAAAAAAAGTGAATTTATACAGGAAAAACAAAAAACAAAACAAAGCAAAATAAAACAAACTAAAAAAAAAAAACAAAAACAAAAACCAAAAGACATGCACTACTCTCAAAATTCACCGCAGAGCGTAATATTGGTTCAAAATTCAACAAACCTACTGAAAAATATTCACACAAAAATACCCTGTGTATTATTAAAGTTAGTAATGAACTGTTTTCACATTTCCCGTTTGCAGTTAGTACAGATAATGACGGTCTGTCCATCAAGTTGTTTTTGCTTTCATCATATGAAGAGATATTTGGCGCGGTCAAATCAATTGATAACAATTACCAAATGTAAGCGAAATATTGTTATGTGAGCGAATTCCGCCTGCTTACAACTTATTTCACCTATGAACAGCAACAATGTAGCAAAATTTCACAATTCACTTAAAAAGAAAATTGTCCACCGATGGACACTGAGATGAAATCGTCTAATCTCTGTAAATATCCTGAAGGAGACTTCAAAATAAGAAACACTCGCGCTAGGGGGTGTTTTAACAAAGGTCTTTTCTCTGGTTTTTAACTTGGCCGCATTCTTTCCGCTTGGTGAGTTCACCGCACAGCGATATCACACACGTGACGTCACCGTTGTCATGTACACATCACACCAAGCCCTTTGACGTCACCAACACACTACCATGACAAGTTTGGTCCATGTTCTTACACTCTCTTTCGGCGATTTTTTTATCTTCAAAAATGTTTTAACCGCATTTTTTTCTTGATATATATTTGAGGAAGTTCTCGAAACACGTCATAACTGAATTTCACCACAAAGGACCCACCGTGCATATGTTATCGGCACGTAAACTGCTCTTAAAAAGTTAAATAATTACAGACGTTCAAGTCTGTAGCACTCAAGATGATGCCCTTCCAAATGATGACGGAATGTTTTAAGATCTTAAGGACATGTTGTCTCAAAGGTAACATCGTCAGTCGCTTAAGAAAATGCTGTTTCTAGAAGTAATAATAAACAACCAGCGATTTTGATTTCTCAGCAGTTCTGAAGGGTCAAAGAACTCGCAAATTTTCCCACCAATCAGCCAAAAATATAGTCCGGCCGGAATCGTGGTCAAGTGGAAATCCCTGCACTGGTGGAGCCATGAACAATTTCAACATTGCAGAAACTACAAGATCTGTGACCGGCCATAGTAACTATGGACCGGCAAACTTGTCGAAATCTAGTGTAGGTAAATCAGTGTTTTATTGTTTCGCCGCTAACTTGAAAAGAATCGCGTGTATTTCAGAGCGGACGTTGCAGGTTACCTTGAGTTCGGAACTTCAAGGGGTTTATTATTCGCAGAATTGGAACCGATTCTCTCTTCCGCCGCTACCTTTGATAAAAAGTGTTTTCTATCCATGATATAACCGAATTGTTTTGTTTTATTGTGCAAGTCTAAATTTAGGTTTACAAAAAAAGAATGAAAACATTAAATTAAGGTAAATTGTAAGGTCATGTGAACTCATTTTAAAGTTTTCCTCAGCAGTTTATGAAAGGCAAGTTCTTGAAGAACGCGGCGAGCTAAAGTAACCATTTTATTGTTTTGCATATTGACTAAACCGAAACTAGCGCTTTTGGAGTATTGAGTGTTTTTTTGCAAACGCAACCAAAAATATGTCATTTTAAAACGCCGCGGTTTACATGTTAATGCACAACTACAACAAAATATCTCTGTAGAGGAATAAAACTCGAGAAACAAAGAATTTCTAAAGGGATATTTCTAATCCGCGTCAAATCAGTTACATAGATTAATCTATTCAAAACTAAAATGGACTTACTTGGATTGGTTTCTTGACAGAATCTGAAGACAAAAGCGAACAGAAGTTAGACTTAACGGAGTGAAGAGAAGGCAAGCAATCAACGTTTCTGCTCACTGCAAATTCAACTTGAAAATGATCTTTCCAACTTCCCTTCCCAACATATTTAACAATTATTCGAGAAGACCTACAATATTGAGAACCATCTTTCCAAATTACATATTAATAGCAGCTGTTTTCTACTAGGTGCGACCTTTCTTTTAAGTTTAATCGGCTAAAATAGATACTACAACGATTTTTCCTGCAACAATGCTAAAACAAAAACCTCAAAAAATCGTCAATCCCATTTTCCAATCCTTTTAGCACAAAAATGCGCGCACTTCTACCGGAATTTGTAATGTGTATATCGCGAAGTTATACTTTCGTCACACCAAAAGTATCCTACTTAAAATTACTTAGCCCTGGACATACGAATCATCGTAATCATTAATACAGACTTATTCATCAATGAAAGGTCGATTTGAAGCTTAAGGACTACGTTATGTGAACTTTTTGCAGCTCAGACTCCGTTTAAATTGCCATACCTGATGAAATTTCGGGAACGGAAAGACGACTATGTAAAGTCCTTTGCCTTTCGCTGCAGTCAGACGAACTCCGTTGAACTGTGTCCTAAATGAAAACAACAAAGACGTGATGTGAATCTATAGCAAGATAATTCCAAAGCAATCAATGTGTTCGGCCTTATTGTTTTCAGCTAAATCTCGCTACCTCCAAAGACATGGTTCTTATTTCCGCTAGGGACGAACACTAGGTGAACTCACAGTGGAGTTAAGCTCGCTCACAAAGCGACTGATATTGTACGCACAGTCCAACATAACCTAATAAATTCAACGAAGCCATATCGCGGAATTTGGACCACGTATCGCATGCGGTTACGGTGAAAACACTGAAACGAGAAAATGAAACATGCAACTTACAGCACGTAAGGTTCAGCGTGGAAACAGAGAATGTAAAACATGTTTGAGTCAACATGAATCAGGAAGCAAATTGACATTCATATCTACACACGTCACGCCATGCAAATAAAAGCTTCGGACAAAAGCACCCTCACCTTTGTTTGCGTGAGTTTCAAGTTATCCTTTCCATGCGGGGTCGTTAGCATCTCTTTGAATGCTGTGGGAGGAACAAGTCACAAGCGAGACTTAAGACTTTCGCTTTAAAAAATGGATTTCTCTTTGTTCGCTGGATCACGCACTTTGCGGACCGTTTTAACTTCCAAAGCGGCAAAGCTTTCTTTGTAAAGGAAAGTTATGTTATTGAATCCAATTTGACAATCATAAAAAGTGCAAACAAGAATAAGAACAATAAAATTAAAACACAGAGGACTGCTGGCGTCGTTCAAGCGTGACAAAAACATTTCCAGAAAATTCATTCGAGAAGGAAATGGGGAAAAAGGCTTATTTCACTTTCCTCTTTGTAAAATCGTTTGCGCAACCCGAGAAAATTAAAAAAAAAAGAACAACGGAGAGATTGTTCCACGTTTTTTAAAGTGACAAAATGCGAAAAAAAAAAAAAAAATTTCGCAGCAAGTCATTACACGAACGGCGCTTGAAATCACAGCAATTATTGAAAACAAGGCAGAACCGAAATAATTATAGAACTGATCTACGTGACCGCGAAAAACAACAGAACAATTATCTATTCAGCACCGGAAGAGAAACCAAAGGCTCTTTTGCACAACTAAAATGTTTCAATGGACGATTGAAATCACCGCTCATTGAAATCGACTGTGCAAACGCGCCTCCCAAACATGAATTGTCTCACAGACGCGCGACGAGTCATGTACGCGCGCTAACTCACGTTTAGGTCAATTGGTTTACATCTCTCTTAGCATGATAGGCTAATATTACAGGAAACCTATTTTAACTAATTTGAAGAAACTGCTACCCGTGGGAAAGACATATTACATTACTTTCAAGAGTTCTTCAACCGAAAAAAAAGAAAAACAAGAAACGTGCTCCAGTGGAAAACTTGCGATGTTTTTAATCTCCGCAAATAAAATATATCATATGTACTACGAAATTCTCTTAACAATCCCAAAAGGAAATTTATGACAAATAGTAAAAAGAATTAAGGTTTTAATTATAGCACTGATAAGGGAACGCGTTGCACCAACCTGGCATATTCTGCTTGACTAACAACGACACGTGAATCGCGCTTGACAGAACATCTTTTGCCTAGAAAAAAAGAAAAAAAGAAACACAACGGATCCTCAGCTGTACAGACAACTTCTTCTAAAGCGCGGACACATTCTTTCCTTCTTAAAGATAAGAAGTATCTCTTATCGAGGCTGCAAAAAACTTAAAGAAACGAATGAAGTAAGAACCAAGTTCGCCAGACCAGTTTAGACAACGTTTACACAGAGGACGAGTATCCGTGTTCGTAACAGATCTATTTTTGGTACCAATCCGAAATAACAGCATCCCGGTTTGGTCGAAACTCTGAATCTGCAATCCGCCTTTGTATGCAGATAGTGTAATTTCGCAATGTTAAGTAATATACACAAGTTAGTAGACACAATTTGGATTATCGATGTGTGGAAATTGATGTGAATTTGAATACCCTTTTAATGCAAACACATAGGAATCCAAATACGCTGTATGTATAGGTGATCGTGTGAATGTGAGTTTAATTAAGAATTTACACCACGAGTGATATTTGAAAATTCTATCAACATTGTGCGAGCCTTTAGGCGAGAGCAACCTGAAAGAATTTTCAAATATCCCGAGTAGTGTAAGTCCTTTATTGCTCGAGCTTTCATACGATTCTCGTTTGTTATATATGAATTGACCTGCTATCAGCCAGTCACAATCAAGTAATGTTCCCACTCATATAATAAAATAAGATATATCCGGAAAAAACTATCCACTAGTATGAACATACTCTTGAAGCCGTATTAGCCAGGGGCGGTGAATATAGATAAATTTAGCAATAGTTTTTCAAGTTCGGCGTTCGATATCCGTCTCACTCGTCTCCAATCTTAGCTTAATCATTTCTCACTTGGTATCCTTATACCACACGGTACTGTTAATTTGAGGTGGGTCTTCAAAAGGGAATTTTGCAAACCACTCAAAGACTGAGCTAATAGAGGAATAAATATCTTGTTTAAGAGTCAGTGAAGAAAATACATCAAAGCCGTCGGAGAATTAGAAGTACAAGTTAAATACCAGTTATTTTTTTTAGTGTAATATATATTTTTTGGCATTGCTTACCTTTATATTCGAGATGTTTTCAAAGTTAGTTCCATTAACTTCAAGAACCTGAAAAGAAAAATAAGCGTTTACGTTACAATGCACAAAAGCATAATTTCATCGTGAACGCTACAGTTAGAAAAAAAGTTACGAACCTGGTCCCCTCGCCTGACACCTGCTTCTGATGCCTTCGAGTCCTCCTCAACCTGAAAACAAGAAATTAAATCTTAAAAAATAGTTACAAAACCAAGGAATCTACTCAAGTAGCAGCGTAACGCATAGATCAACACTTCAATTCCTTTTAAAACAATCACACTTAGCTGTTTTGCTTTTGCCAAGCTCTATATTTAGTCCAACACAACACTCGTCTAAGGCGCTATAAAATCAGCCAATCAGATGCTAAAAACTACTCGCGTATTAGGTCACGGGACATTTCCCGCGCTAACCGCTGGCCGGTCACTTGCTTTTTTAATAAGTACTCTCTCGTTTTCTGCAGTAATTCGTGCGGTGTCTGGAATGGTTTCGTTAAACTAGAGCGGTTTTCAATTGAGTGTTGAAAGTAATCAGGCGATTACTTTGGTTTTGGTTTTACTACGGTTTCCGATTGGATGAGTAGTCTAATTGGTAAGTGATTGGTTTTGGTTTTGGTTTTGGTTTTAAGACAGTCAATTGAAAACTGCTTTGAACAAAACTTATCTCATCCCATTTGGCCAATCATGAATAACTCAGTGAAAGAGCGCAAGAGCCGGCGCAAGAGCCAATCAGAACTTGCAGCCAGCGCCAAGCGCGGGAAAGCACGCGTTAGCCAAGCCACGAATGGTTTTAGATTTGCTCCTGAAGATTCTCTTACCTTGGATATAAAAATACCAAAACCAGATTCTTTGCCGCCGGCAATTGTAAAACCGAGAGGCATATCTCTTGACGAACGATCCTGAAAAATACATGAAGAATACACGAGCAGAGATTACTACACATCGGGAAGTTGGAGCCTGTTTTAATTCCCATTGGAATCTAAACTAAAGAAGTGACCTACCATTGTGATGCGGCGAGACTTTGCTTTAGCTGCGCATGCTATGTTTAAGAGTCCAAGCTGACCACTCATTTGCTGTTTGAACGAAAAAGACAGAGATTAAAAACGCGATTACAATGACACTTTGTTCCAATCTTGGTTACTGTATGTATTGAAACAAGAAGCTTGGCGGTCCCCTAGAAATGAAACCAAGGCCTGTTTCAAACGACTTGTTTTAGCATCTACTGAGCTTCGTAGCGGTTTCAAACGACAAACTCGGTTAAATTCTGCTGTAAATGTGGATTTAACTCGAAGACGAACACACGAATGAAATAAAAAACAAAGTGATTTGCACAGCAATACAAACTATATGTAATAATAACTACCACAATTTAAACAATAGCCCTGCTGGGCAAAAAAACCTTATCAAAGTTAAGTCCAGTTGTCGAACTAAAGGCTTCAGACGTCTTCTACATATTGGACCAAATTTCTGTAATGGTTTGGTACGCATTATGCCGTTTGATCGGTGAAAAGTAAACATGGTTCTATTTTATTCTTCGTGAAATTGTTTATTTACGTTGAGACTTCAGTAACCGACTGTCTGGACATCACATACCCTGATACGAACGAGCGCTGTTTAAATTTAGCAAATCTTGGTAAATTTTTCGATTCTTATATAGCAGAACCAATAAGAATACGGGAGCACGCTAGAGCTTTCCTATTAAAGATTGCCATGTCAGCCTGTCGCCATAACGATGCTTCATGTCGCTAGGCAACTTCCGTGATGACAGATCCAAGCAACAGGGGTACTGGCTTCATAAACAAATTTACGTTAGACGTGGGGTAAACAAGAAAGCAAATAGGAAAACGTAGAGTAATTTGATTGCTACATGTAGGTGAATATCTGGACTCGGCAGTTACACACAAGAAAGAACACACTTAAGGCATGGCACATTTCTCCTGTTCACCTGTTGTTCAAGGCCCTTTTCGAAGGTCTCCAGGTAATTCTCCATATCAGCGTCCCTTTCAAAGTCGCTATAATGATTATTGACCCAGAGAAGCATTGCGCGCGTCACCTGCAATCAACAACCAATCAAATGTCAATCAATCAAGCGTCAACCAATCAAATGTCAGTCAACCAAGTGTTAACCCATCAAATGTCAACCAATCAAGTGTCCATCAATTAAGTGCCAACCAACCAAATGTCAATCAATCAAGAGTTCATCAATCAAATGTCAATCAAGTGACAATCAATCAAGTGTCAACCAATGAACTAAAATTACGAACGGAAATAATTTGCGCTGACTGGACAATCAAGAGATGGTTTCCGCACTGCTTGCAGAGTCAAGTCTCAGGAGAGGAAAAAAAAAGAAATCTTACCTTGTCTCTGAATGGTCTTTCAAGGAACCAGTTTAGTAACTGACTGCAGATCTGTGACGGACGATCTAAGAAAGTTTTGTACGTCAGTAGCAGATCCTCCACATACGTTGGGTCGATTGCCGAGTGATCTGCGACTACGTGACTTATCAGCTTCTGAGGGGTTGCCTGATGAAAACAATCAAAATAGAATTTACAAAGGATGAAAATCATTCCTTGTCTCTTATTTCAGGGGTTGGAATTCTGTTCAAATCCAGACAAGATGAGGCAAGTTTCCTGATGGATCATAACACTGGCAGCTAAAAGTATAGCTACTCACTCCTGGATGGGATGCAAATTGATTTCCCCTGTATCTTACTAGGTTGCTTTTCACTAATTCTTTGCGGGTTGCCATTTATACTCCAGGGCCGGGTTGTTCAAGGCCCGATAAACTAACCCAGGATTAGCGAGAATTTTGATTTCAGTTTTGCAACTTTTCGGTGAGTTTTTCTGTTTACAATGTTTGTCTTTCAGTTTTGAGTTTGAATGATCTCAAACTACAAAAAACATAAGCAGTGAAAAACATTTTTATACAAGACAAATTAATATCTCGGTTAACTTTTAATCCTGGATTAGCGTTAATAGGCTTTCGAACAACGCGGCCCAGGGTGGAGAAGGGCACTGTGAGAATAAACTGTCTCTTCTATGAGCACAACATGAGAACAATGGCAGAACTCTCGACATTATTGACAAGCAGTAAAAGGTAAGATGCTTAAATGTCTCCTTGCCATACGGCACCGTGTACTTTCCCCTTTGGTCTTAACGCAGAAGGTTACTTACTTCAGAAATTCGACTCAATCTACAACAGTACAAGATTTGTTTCTTGTTTTAGTTTTGCCATTTATAAATACAAAAACAACACATCAAGGAACTAGTTTAGTACCTGACCACAGATCAATAACTGACTGCAACTGACTGACTGCATCGTTCTAATGTTGTGTTCTTGGAAGAGACAGTTTACTCTCACAGTGCCCGTCCCCACCCTGGCATATAAATGGTAACTCGCAAAGACTGAAGAATCAAAAAGAAAAAGTCTTCTCCAGTGCCGAATTTTGAAAAATTTGCGATTCGCAAACTCGAATAGTGACTGTTGCTAGGTGACCAACCTTGATGACCACGTGACCCTGCCTGCTTCCTCCGTCAGTTTTCCTAAACTCTGTTACCATGACAATCTCCCCATTTTCCTCAATGCATTGAATGCTCCTCTCCCCTTGAGTTAGAATTCTGTAGTAATCTGCCTGCGCCACGCACACAAACTGAAATTAAAGAAAAAAATAATAATTCCAGGTCAACTCAAAGAGCCTGTCGCGAAGGCTATTTAAGGTTTTGTTATCAACTCTGCACAATGCAATGGAACCGAGTTTGATCTTCTTAAAGCCACTGCTTGCTATCAGACTCTCAAAGCTGATCGGCTTTAATTACCTGGCAGTCATCAACGCGAGTCTTCATGACTCCTCTATGACGCATCTTTTTCAGAGTAGGCTCCACGCCAAAACTGTCTCCCAGGTGCAGGGTAAGCGGCTCCTCCCCAGGGACAAGAATCTCCACTGAACCATTGAGAATTACAGACCAGGAGTCCAGCTGCAAGGACATGAATAGATGTAAATAGTAATTCCTTTTAATGATTTCAATAGATTTCTTTTAATACTAGTTTAGAGAACTTGGTAGCATATCCGCAGTTAGTCTCCTTCGCAGCCGTTATTAGGGTCGTCACGCAACGCTTATCACCAATAACGGCTGCGAAGGAGACAAATCTGTAGTTAGCTTAGCTACCTTCTAAAGTCGAGATTATTCTTCATACGAGTCATAGGTCTTATGAGGACACTATCATGTGACTGACTACGAAAGGCCAAAACCTAAAAGACATGCTTCCATTGATGGAAACCTAACTATAATGGTCTAGTTTAGTTAATACGTTCTGTAGAGGTGCACTGGAGACATAAAAGGAGTGTTATAAGGGCTAGGCATAGAAAGGCATGCAGTCGGCGGTTGCGTCACTGGTCGTAAACATTTGTAGCTTAGGCGCAGAGGTTTCTCATTTCTGTACGCAGAATAAACTAACAGTACTAATCTTCTAGTGGACATCAAACAGCCCTTCTTAATTTTCACTTAATCCATGCATAACACGGGACGTTAGGGGAACATGCCACTCGCCCCTTAGTATTTGCGGTTTATCTGTTGCTCTCGCTTTTTTTTTTTTTTTTCCTGCTCCGCCTCGTGGCCTATCTCTTCAATGAGATAACTTTACAAACCTCCTCTTCATTCTCCATGACTGTAGATCCTGCCTTGTCTACAACAGCAAACACCATAACAGCACACAGCTCCTGCCGGACATTCATGGTCATGTTGGCAAAAGCCTGAATGTGGAAACAGCAGCATGATCAGTAAATGAACCTGATAGTAAAACGCACGACAATGACCTATCCACTCCTAACCCAAAACAACAACCTAAAGAGGTTCATCTTTCAAATCGGAAGAAACGCAAAGTGACGATTTTCGTCTAGTAAGGATAAAGAACTCAAGTATTTAATGTCAAGAAGACAAGAAGGTTATGATTAACACCGTTAAATGAACTACAAACTTGAGACATCCCGGCTGTATTTTAGCATGTGCAATGGACCCATGTGTTATTCCGGACACTGTGTGATTCTCAATTTGTTTTCTTCGAAGGAGAAGTCATTTTTACCTAAAACTATCCTGTGTAGTATGGCGGGCTCCCATTAGATTTGTATAGATAACAGATATTTCCCTATCGCAACAAATTCAGTCTGATATAGGTGATAAATACCCTGTTTGGTAAACAACAACAACCACCAGTCGACGTGGTTGTCAGGAAGGCGTTTCAATGCATATGTTAGCTGCGGCCTTGCCTTGATTGCGAAAAGATTTAGTACAAAGACGCAAAAACTTACTGGCAGATGTTGCATGAAATCCAACAAAGCCTCTGTAGATGGAAGGAAACAACCAAAGTGTTAAGAAGACAGTTCCGAAGTGGCGTGACGTGCGAATAGCGCGCGCACACGGAAACATTTTGAATTTAAGTTACGCGTACGTTAGTTGCGCTGACGAATTTAAGTTGAATTTAAGTTTAAGTTGCGTGGAAGCTTACGAATTTAAGTTGCGTGGACGTTTATCGACAGAGTTTTGGACAGTTTCCAGTGAGCATGTTGTTGTGCCTTTTAGAGAGTTTTGTGCCGTTTAAAGTTTACCGTTTTACCGATTTTGAAGTGTTTTGGTCGAGTGCCGTTTCCGTTTACAGCTCACGAACACAAAGTTTATCATATACATTCGTAACACATTTAAAAGAACAATTCAAACAAATGTGCAACTTACGGATGTCACTTTCTGTGCGATCTAATGGCTCTTTCTCCAGGCAGTCTCGCACAACATCACGCACCATTAAAGACTGAGAGAAAAACATAGATGATACACCATTAGTACTTTATGGATGAGTACTTTTAATAGAAAGATACAGGTAGGTCCGTAATATGTACATAGAACAGCAGCCCTGTCATAAAGTTTTGCAGTACTGAAAGGCCGAGATGTATTTGATTTGTGAACTCCAGAGTGCAGTACGGGCGGCAGGTAATTGGCTGGAGTCGGCAAAATTGCCGGTACATTTGGACAGGGCTAATAATAATGGTACGCCTAGTTCTATTTGATCTGTAAAACCACCGTGCACATATAACTGTGTAAGGGACAAAGAAGCTCGTTGCATTTGACTTCCACTTGCAGTTTTACACTCCATAAATATACAGAGACAACAGATTATTACGAATTGACCAAAACTGAGAAATGGCAAACAACATACCTCTCGTGAAGAATGTGACTCTTCCTCTTCATCATCTTCATCAGAATCAACTGAAGAAAAGCACAAAAACTTGTCACATTGTGAATATTAACAGTTAAATTGTGGACATCAAAAAAGTCAGTGAGCAACTCTATGGGCAGTTACAGAGTCATAACTCTATCTCTAGTGCCATAACTCTATCTCTAGTGCCATAAGCAATTAGGTCATGTGTCCATTTTACAAGCCGCTCAATCCAGATCAGTCCTATTCATCCTATTTGCTGTGTCAAAGGGCTGGCGATCGAAACTTCAGTTTCACACATTCGCTATGGCGGTTAATTCACCTCTGCAACTTCAATTGATAACTAGCTAAGTTTTGTTTTCAATCCAAAGTCGAATACTCTTAAGCCACTGGGGATGAATTTTGAAATTGTCACTTTATTATACAATTTAAAGGTCCACTTTAACTTACCGATACTCTCAACCAAGCCTGTAAGATCCAACTCGAGGTTGTTTAGAGATGACGAGTCTGACGCACGTCTTTTCATATTCTTGTCACTTTGCAAAATGATTTCTTTGACATGTTGAAGTTCCATGGGTAACTGATGATAAAACAAAACATACACTGCTGTTTATGATCACAAGACTTCTACAGCTTTTTACTTCATGGCTGAACTGTTCCGCGATGAAAAGGACAGTTCTGATTGGTTCTCTTAGCGGTCCGTATTGCATAATTTGGACCGCTCACGAATTACTTTCGGCGATTCGTTTTTTCAATTCACTGCATTCGCGTCGGCTACAAGAATTTAATTCGAGTTTTGATTGGCTCACTGGAATGTGTGTGTTTTGTGATTGGACGGAGAGACTACTTTGGTTTTGGTGTTACGAAACTCAATTGAAAACAGCTCAAACACCTGTAGGGTTCTACAGAAGGATTCTTTTCTCCTTTCTGAATGTAATTATCACACTGCAATCACACAGACATTACTTGTTCATCATCTGGTATTGGTCCTCCTATCCTATAGTCCTGTGTTTCCAGAGCAAGAAGTCGCTCCAGATCATTCTTGGAGTACGAACGTCGTATAAATGGCTGGAACAGTTCCGAGTTTGGAAAATCAATCTATTGTCAAAGCAAAAAACATGTCTTAAATGACGGCTGTTCTATGTTTTGCTAGTCTCCTTCGCAGCCGGTTTTTGGCATGACACGCAACGCTTCCTCCAAAGAAACGTTGGGGGCGTTGCGTGACATCCCAAAAAACGGCTGCAAAGGAGACTAATGTTTATATGGATAACATGAAGTTAGTATCTCACTGATTTAGTCAGCGCCAGTGCCTGGCGTTTGCCACTTCCGGGGTTCCTGTGAAACCCTCCATGCCTTTATTGCTACATAGAGAACCTCACATACCAACCCTTAAGGTACAAGTACTTTACCCAAGATCATATTTTGGGATTGAGTTTTACTGGCATATGTGGCAATTTTCTACCTCTACTATCATTCACTGCCAAGTCTGCAACATAGCACCCTCTCAGCCACTTGTGTTGCCCGTAACAGTGCAGGATGTGGCTTATCCCCCCAGGGGGAGAGGGTTACTCCCAAATATATATAAGCTATATGAGCACACAAATATGGTGCTGTGAAGGGTATGGTTTTCAGGAAGTGTGTTATGGGAATCTTAGGGTATAGAAATCAGACAGTTGTGGTCTAGAATATTGTAGAATGAGTATTATAAACCTGAAAGGTAGCCAGTGCATAAATAAATTTAGTCTAGAACAGGGTTCTTCACCTGGTGTTCTAAAATAGAACTTGAAACTTGAAAGTGACTTCGTAAAACATGGTTTAGTTAGCATAATGATAGACTGAGATAGTGATGAAAAGCGATTGGAAAGGGGTGAGAGTTTGAGTGTCCCAGAGGGCACACTCTCACCCAAAGATTTACACGGTACCACCCGCGAGGCTTATCCTGACCACACGCAAAGCTAGTTGTAAAATGATTTGACCTACCACAATCAATTCAGAATATTCAAGCACAAGGCAATCAGTTCCTCTTTTTCCATTGGTGCTGAGTGGTTGTTTGCCAAAGCTTGAAGAAAAAATTATCATCAATGATTATTGCAAACTAAAGGAATATATGAAAGGTGAATTGATCAACATGACACGAGGGTGGGACAAAAAAAAATCTGATTCCCCAACAGGAATCGAACCCATGACCTCCCGAACACCGGGCGGCCACTCTATCCACTGAGCTGCAAGGACTCATGGAGAGCAAGGTCATTTAACTGAGTTCATATGTGACAGGCTTCCTGCATACCGCTAGGATCGGCACTGTCAAAGTCATCAGGAGTAGTGATAAGTGAATAAAGATGGTGAATTTTAAGCTCAGTAATGAAATGTGCTCCAGAGGTAATGGGTTCGATTCCTGTAGGGGACTCAGACTTTTTCTTTGTCCCATGCTCATGTCATGTTGATCAATTCACCTTTCACATTTCATTACCAAACTTAAAATTCACCATCTTTATTCACTTATGACTAAAAGAATATACATGTAACGTGTGCTGATTTATGTTGGGATATACATATGTAACTAGAAATACATGAATGTACACACAGTTGAAAAAAGACTTACAATCATGTACATCAGGTTTACATGCATTTATCATAAAGTACCTGTCCATCAATTGAATTATTATAAAAAAAATGTCCTTTACAGTGGAGCCCAAATATAGCAAAGAGCTCAGGGACTGACAATATCACCTGGAGCTACATGTAATAATAAATATAATAATTTTATTACTTATATAGCACAAACTTCATTAGAATATATGATCTAATGCACTTTACAGACACTATAAACCATAAAAAGCGTATCTATATGAAAAACTAAGAAATCAAACAAATTAAATGTAAGAAAAGTACCCTTGCTTAAATAGGTGTGTTTTAAGTTCTCTCTTAAAAGTATTAATATTGTCCACTGCCCTAAGGCTAGGTTGCAAAGAATTCCATAGTGCTGGTGGGGCGACAGAGAAAGCTCTGTCACTGGTTGTTTTTGCAGACTTTATTGCAGACTGAGCCAACACATTGGTATCATTAGATAGTAGATCATATATTAGATTGTTCTTTAAGAGATAACAGATCACTAAGATAAACTGGCGCTAGGCCATGTGTAGCTTTAAAAGTCATTAGGTTAATTTTTCAATCAGGTACATGTATGTAGGTGAAAATCGAAAAAGATGCAGTAATTAAAATTTATTTAAGCTTGGTCCAGTGGGTAATTGCATTATGAATATTGCAAAAATGCAATAAAAATGTGGAGGGGGGGATCACCATGCTCATGTCTGCAAAACATGAATATAACTTAGTTACATGTACAAGCCCAAGTAATCAAAAAGAGGAACTAGAATTTATCAACTGAAAGCACATCATTTCTTGCGTTAAAGTGTTCAAACCATTCAATCTTAAATATTTACGAGCCATTTTAGTGAAGGGGAATCAAAACTACGAAACAAATTCAAACATGTCCATAAATCCAGCATTTCCTTAAGTACAATCATGTAGCATTCATCACATCACTCAAATAAAAATAATATCTCAAAGCAGAAATTTTAACTTTCTATCAAAAAACAATGTACAGTAGTCAGTCGTATGCCACTTAGATTTAGGCATTGAAAGTGAGGGTCACTGTGCTTGTATTGGAGAAAATTGCCATTTGTCTCCCTGAAAGGCTTATCTTGAAGGAGATACCACAATGTTGTTTGTGTGCATGCACTGATGCCAATGCTAAAGATGCAAGAAATTACACACAACAAGGATGTGCAAAGCAATTCAATGAAATCACCTAAGAGTAGCCAGAGTTACATTGTAACACTCAGCATGTCACTGTGTACAGTGGAATCCTAATACTTCAACCTCCAAGGGAAATAAAAAAATTATTGGTTTGAAAATCAGGTAGTTCAAGAAATCGAGGGGAGGGAAAGTTGTATAAAGGAGTGCATTACAGGTGTATGTCAAGGTTTGACTTTTTGTGGTTCTCTCAAAGTTGTAAATGAACAGGAGACAATTGCATTCATTAGTGTTTGAATAGACTTTTCGGCATTACATAATCCTTTTGTGTTAGACTTGTTACATTTTTCGCATATATTAGTTCATATATTAGTTTTCGTTCACAAAAATAAGATCAATTCTAATCCTTGGCTTGGAGGTAGAGACCGTATCTTTTGGACACTTCGGAATATCGTTGGACACTTGGACTATAGTATAGATTCGTAGTCAAGGCATGGACATTTGGACTGTCATAGATTCGTAGTCAAGGCATCATTTTTAAGTTTAGTTCGCGCAAATGTGTGTTATAGAATAAATGTTAATCTGGTAAACAGTAAAATATGTGAACAACACTGTACATTTGACAGACTCTGCACAAAACTGAAATACTGTAAAGCAATTAATAATTATAACGGTAAACCAGAAGTAAATTACCTGCTTCCTGGTAGATACATACATCCATCCAGAAAAACACAACCAGACAACAATATATACCAGCAAGCCGCAATATCATCCGCCCTAACAATCCAAATTAAAAGAAAAGATTAAAACTTCACCAATGCTATGCAAAGTTGTGGATACTAAAGAAATAGGGTCAAATAGGAAAAGATGGATAAATTACATGCAGTCAATAGAAATCAACATTAAATAAAGCAAAAAATGACTAACTCTGATTAATTATAAAGCATTAATTTAACCCCTCCCTGAAAGAATGCACATATCACAGTAAACTTCTATATTGATAGAAGGATGATGGTGCTAGCAAAGATGTGTGTATATATGTGCATTTTTGCAGTGTTTTCTAAATGAAACGCAAATATTTTTTTTCCTTGTACATGTTTCCATTGAATTACAGAAACACTTTTGAAAGTTTGGAGGAACTCAAAAAAGCTGCCAGGCTCCCACTTGTAACCAAGTTTTATGGTCTGACAATCTACACAATCATAGCAAGGGACTTTTCATTCATTAAACATAATAGTTACGTACAATTGCACCTTAACCTAGTTAATTATGGTTTGCTGCATCCTTGTATAACTCACAAAAGAAGAACAATTCTTATCGTTAATTGCAGCTGATGCTCAGTTCGTGTCACCAGTGAGTTTTACACAACAGAGATTTCTCAACACATTTGGGGTACAACAGGAACAAACAGTCATGTTTGTTTTGAACACAGTGTACACGTACAAATGTTCCCTTTCGCATGTAAATTAATTCAAAGTCAAACTTTTAATAGCAAGAACTTCACTTACAATAATTACTACACGGCTAGCAAGGATTTCATTAAGCATTTCAGCAAGAGGGCAACTGGTTTTCACAGGTGGGCAAAGCGTTTTGAACTGTACTTCTTTTTAAAAAACCTTTCCTCTAGATGGTCACACCAGGTGGGCAAAATCACTGTTACAGCCGGCCAATTTATCTTGTGCCTGGCCCGTAATGAAAACCCTGAGCTAGTGATTAAGCTGTATTTCAGTTGATTATCCAGTAAAAAACTCACACATAAAGTAAATAATTGGAATCTTCTGCCTCATATCTTGCAGTCTCTGACATGGCTCTGGAGTTTAGATGAAAGGCATGTTAATTATGTTAACAACAGTTTCATGAATATATTAATTGGTGATATGTGACTGGCTGAGACTGAGTAGATGGAACAATGTACTCAAAACAGTCATTTCCCTTACAAATGGAATAGTTACATTGTACAAGATAATCCAAAGAAGTCACCTATTTTGGTTATTTCTTTCTGAAAGGCTCTTCCTTAGTTATCTGGCAGGCAAGTTTCTCAAGGGTTTTCACACACCAAAGTCTACGCTGTCAATGATGTACATTGATTAAATCTGCATACTAAGAATATATACCTAATAATAAAGTTGTGCAAGGCACAATTACAGGCACATGCAATACATGTAATTACAAAAATTGACAGGGCAATTAAATATACAGAGAAGGATGGTAAACATATTTTCAAGAACAAATTAATGAGATAGATTTTTTGGTTACTAAGCGCACATTGCTTGGCTGTATTGCATAACGAACCTTATAAATCAACATTACAATCACAAACAATCAAAAGTCATGGACTCTTCCCTTCAACAAATGAAATACTTCTCATTTGTTTTCTTGAATTGTCAAAAATGTTTTCACTGACACCTGTTTGATTCCTACAGATTAATTAGTCGTGCCTTGGTGATATCTAAGTGTATTAACATGTGTCAACTGTGTGTCATTGAGTGAATAAAACTGCAAATTATAGCTCCAGATCTTTCAGGGCCATCTAAATAATAGAGAATACAGATCGAAACACAAAAAAATGCATCCAAGCTTCTAAGGGAATTTTGGTATCACATTGAAATCTTCCTGGTTGCAAATTTTGCATCAAGATCCAAACTGGATAATTTATTGATCAAAGAAATGAATGATAGAATCTTTCAAGGCAGTTTAAAAAAGTTTGCCTTTGTATGTTTATAGACTTTCTTTAGAACCATTGAAAGCTTACAAATAATATATTTTAATCATTCTTTTACCTGATCAGAACTCCTTTAATAAGAACTGTAGAACTGATCAATCTTAAAATATTCACTGGCATTGCTTTCAGTAAGTTATTGTTTCAAAAACTTTATGGTTACTTCAAAATCATTAATAATTCATAAAGGAAAATACATTTGAAAGAAATGAATGTTTAATGAGTGTCTTTAAATTCGATAAAGACACGGCTAAATTTTGCAGCTGATTTCCTCCAGAAAAATAATAATAAACCCAAGCATTATTCAACAAATGAGTAGATCTACCACAAACGTTTTTGAAGCTGTTCGAAAAACCTGCAACATGTGTTTTATCAGGTTTAAAACATTCAGCTACACCTCGTGTTTTAAATCTGATAAAACGTATTGCTGCTCGTTTTTTAAACATTACATAAATGTTTTTAAAAATTATTAGTCTAAAAGAAGTTATAAATTTAAGAGTGTCTCCATTAGGGATATAACAAAATTAATGCAATATCTTTAACAAAAAAGAAAAGAAAGCTCCAGTGTTGAAACATGATAAAAAAAAATTATATTGTTTTCCTTCATAAACACAACAAAATTATGGATTAGCCAATATTTTGGATAATTTCCCCCTACAGGGTACAAACACTTCCTGTTTAAAAAAACCCTTGCTTCCAAGGAACTATAACAATATTACTGACAATTGATTTATATTCCTGGTTACAAAATGTTTCATTTTTGTAACACACATACATATACAGAGAGACAACCTGAAAAATTTGAAATCTTGGAGATCGCCAATTTTACCTAAGTTCTCAACTCTTAAAAATGTTATCATTATAATTAGAGCTTGACCAATTCAACCACAAAAATGCATCAAATATTCCAACATTTTCCCGAAAAGTGCCAAAAATTGGGCACAGTAAGTGTCAAAAATGCACTGTAGCTCTCCTTTGTATCTGGGAGATTTAGTGACCCCTTCGGGAGACTGGGAGAATCAGTATGTATCCGGGAGATTCCTGGATAATCCTTGAATGTTGGCATACACTGTAGATGCACTTGTAAACACTATATGCTCATTTTTACAAAATTAACCATCCATTTGTGCACATATAACTTCTTAAAGAATTACATTTATTTGCTGACAGCAACTGGCAAGAACAAACTGACTCACTCCCTTTCACATGTAGCTACACACTGTCTTACATGTATTAGAAACCTATTCAAAATTTAAGCCAACATGGCTTACATGTACAGTATAATAAAAGGTAATGATCACATTGTATCTTTTTGCAGTAAACATTTATAATTAGAAAATAATGCTTTGCTAACACCCCCTATGTCTATAAATAGCAAAAATAGTAACTCATTAGCTTTCAGCTTCATACATGTAAATTCATGTTCCATTGGTATTTATACTAACACTATTTTTATAGTACTTTACTCAAGTGGCTTTTAAAACATTGATATATATACCAGCATGTACATGTGTAATGTGAATTTGGCTATGTACGTGTACATAATTTACGTAACATATTTTTGCGTAATTCTGTTTGTGTGATGCACTAACCTGACAGAAGACTCAGACAGACCAGCCACGGCCTGCATCCCGGATAAACAACAAAAGATAGTCTCAACATCCTAAAGAAAACAATGTGAAATATTACAGTAACATTAAAAATGTTCAAATCTTCTCTAGATATAAATACATGTAGCCCAATTGTGGAAACTATTCTGCCCAAAATTATAAATGCCCAGGTGAAGTAAGGGGGTAGATTAATTTTGAAAAGGAAGCACATAGGACTGGAGTTTT